TTAAGGCCCCTTATCGAATCTTATCAGGTGTTATCACCTCCTGTCACCCACCAAAAGTGTTCCCGTCCTGCCATGTATATCACTTCTTGGAACTGTCATCCTATCTTTTCTGCGACGCTCGCTATGAATTTCGTGACAGACAGACGGACGCACACACACACACACACACACACACTGACAGACATACTTAGTGAATTATATATAGTAGGATAAGCCTCTCAAGACCAGGCTCGAGTCTTTCCATCGCACCCCCCCCCCCTATAAAATTCTCCCAGCGATAAGACACCCTGTGGATGTTGGATGTTTTCTTCCTTCGTTGGTGGAGTCTTGTTCACCGTGAAAGAAGGGCGTGTCAGTGAGGCTGGGTTTGACGCGCCACGCCCTCTCATCCGCAGCGAATATTGAGTGGTTTGCTAAGGTATGACCGAAGGAGGAAAGTGCGGAAATTATGATCAGATATATGGCTGGCACCTATCTAGAAATAGTCGTTCTATAATTATCAGAATTTAGCTGAATGAAGAGAAAGACGGACTTACAACGGAAATGCAACGTGATGAATTACGTACCCCAAGCATCACTGTAACTGGAAGGGCAAGAAGTGCAGCGCCAACAATCAACAGTATTGGTGCGACGTTTGAGAGGGAAACAGCTATTTAACATTTTTTGGTATTTCAGTGTTACTTTTTAAACTGATATAGTAACTGTGCAGTATGTTGTTATGACCGGTCTAGTCTCTCTTTCTTTCCTGCCCAACTTTCTTCATTTTATCTCTAACATGTGCACAAACTGCTATTGCTTATATCACAAAGCTACCGGTAGCATTTTTGGGTTAAGAATTAAGCGTGTGGTACCCTATATACTGTATTTTGTCTTAAGTTTTTGCTCAAAGTTGTCTGAAAAAAGGGTGTACTGCCCACTCAAAGACCCTATTTTTCTTTCGTACCCTATAGATTTGAAGCTACCCAGCTGATGGAAAACTAACCTAGTTTTGTTTATATTTATTGTGCAATCTATGTGCAACATTTAGGATATCAGGTATCTAGCTTTACCTATTCTATATATATTTTTCCTTCTTACCTCGTAAACATTCGGGCTAATCTTCTGAGGAGCTGAGGAGGGGGCGAGGGAGGCACTGGAGGGAGGAATTTGGTAGCCTATCGCAGAGCTCCTTCTCTACAGGGGGTATGTAAGTCGCTTAACTGTCCTCCCCCCTTTTCCCCTCAACCTTTAGCCGGATTGCACCGTTTTTTATTTTAATTCTCGAAGTTTTACAAGGTGACCCATTGAATGTGAGCTTCATCTTCCTTCGCATCTCTGAAAAATAATTTTGTATAGTAATGTTTTTTGTTTCCCCCCCCCCCTCCTACGAGGCGTCCTTTGTGAACTTAACTCTTATACTTACCCTAGACTGTGGTATTGTTATCTTTACGATGGGTGATGCAGTAGGGGGAGGGCACGAGGCACGCGGCGGCGCTTCTCACTGTTCCTTTCCGCTCCTCAGGACCAGCCTTGTAAGAACGCAGACGACCAGAGTTTGGAGTCCACATGACCTCGCCTACGTAGCAGTAGCGCCCAGGTGGGGGTTGTTTCGCGGCTTGTGTCAAACCTGTTTATCTTGTTACTGATTACTTCAAACGCTTTGGCGTTCTGGCGTTCTACGCATTCCCATATATTCCATATGCCATTTTTCATACGTCTATGCCTGCTTTTCCGTCCAGACTCTCGCAGGTACGCCCCGCACCCCCTTCACATATGAATTGCCTTAATATTGTTCAATTAAATAAGGTAGACCCGAAACGCACTGGGAGGAATACAGCTACGTGGCCGCGGCCACGTTCAGGTAAGGCAGAGACGGTCAGCAGTTATAGTGCTGTTCGCTGTAGATGCTTGGGCGTGCCAGGGGCCGGGTTTGGCGCGGCGCCAGCCTGTTCTCTACTTATTGACGAGGGAAAACGAGAACAATTAGTGGGAAATGTGCTGGCACCTTGTCAAACCCAGTCCCTTGGCACTGAACACCGCACACGGCCAGGAGATCCTATCTCGGAGCGATTCCCGGTTGCGTCAGCTAAACCTTCCATTCCCAGGGTCAGCAACTTGGTACAGGACTTACTTGAGAGGTCAAAACATTGGGCCAAATGGCTGCTGCCACTCCGTTTCTGAGTAGAAGTCGAATGCATGGCGTATCCAGGAAATGAAAGAAATTTATCCCTCATCTGTGGACATCTGATGGCTTTCAGATTAATTCTCGTTAGCTCGAGAAATAATCTGAAACCGATCATTTGTCCCACGGTAAGGGCTCACCGCTGTGGTCTCCGACGAGCTAATCGATTTGATTTTCTGTTGGTGAAAATTGCCCCGTTTATCGTTGGCCCAGTGTACATGATTGACGTTGAGAGTTATGCCTTTCCCTGTTTTTGCTCGAAAGCCAGTATTTCCTACCCTTGTGCCAGTATCCTTGACTTTTTCTTTCCTTGCTTTCTTTACTTTGTTTGCTGTTAAAGCATTAATAAATTGAGCTTAATACATATTTCCCGCTGCATATTTTTTATTATTTTGTGAGTAATTTTGTTGATCACATTTTTGTTTTCTGACATTTGCCATTCGTTATTGTGTATCTGTTGCTCAAAAATTTCTACTACTGGCCTTTGAGTTCTGTTTCCTGAGAGTGTGATTTTTGCTGATTTTTTGGCTTTATTTACCCTTCATTGCCTTACTCTTCAAAATTCAGCCTGGATTTTCATCTTATTTCGTCACTGGGGTTAGATCTGACCAGAAAGTAGTCCCCTAAAGTAATTTGTTCCGCAAACAGGAATATTACACCGGTTTTGCGGACACCTCGCGCTACAGGCCTCGCCGTTGGAGGCTTGTCCTGGCTCCAGGTCCTGCAGCTTTTGCGCCAAGAGGATGTAACATTGGTGCTTAGGGGATCAAACCACACTTAAGAACAGATTTTCAGTCAATCCGCTTCTGGGGTCTAATTTCGATAAAAATTCAAACCGAAGTTTCGAAGAGTAGGGTATGTCGTAAAGGGTAAGTAGTGCCGTTCTCGTAATCAAAGCAGTGAGGTTTGAAAAAATCAAAGTTGGCACAGTTCGGCTTGGTGGAGGCACCGAATGGTAGTCAGCGAAAATTGTGCAGGCAACCTTGTGAAGAGTAAATTCTCGTATCCAAGATGGCTCACTTGTACCATTTCGCAGCTTCAGAGAAGCTTCCAGGTCTCATCTAAGAGGAATCTGCTCAACGTGAACTAACAAGAGGAACTAGCAAAAGTGCAGTATGCCCCCCCCCAAGCCGAACAGCGCCTCAAAGCTTACTACACTGTGACACTTGCGTTCTCACTGTTTTTCTCATTGTCTGTGCCAGTTATCGTGCCAGCAGGGCTACACCATCATAAGGGACAATGTACACCAGCCTGACGTTTCTTTGAGTAATGGTAGAGATCGTAGCCAAAATCTTTTGGCTGTAGCTGGTGTAGTTCCTCCAATGCTGTGCTCGGATTTTACCCATGTTGCCCATGTTGTATGGTTCAAATTGTCACTTTTCTTTCAAAAGAGTATTAGCCTTCTTGTGAATGATCTTAGCCTTGTATAAACGTTCTGAAAGCTTTAGTCATTGTTTTCTGCAAGAAATATGTTCACGGCATGGATACTTGAGTATAAGTTTTGCAGTTAAATGCGTTCATACTTTGCAGCGGCGTTTAGAGCTTGCGTCAGTGTTTTCGGGGAATTGAGCGAATTGGCAAGGAAAGTATGAGTTTACGTTCTGAGCGTATACTGGAAATGCTGGCGCAATGTGTGAACGTGCTGTTATGATACTTGTGGCTTAATTCAGAAGACAGACTGTAATTAGGTTGCAGTTCATTGAGTCGTGTGGTCTGGGCGAGGTACTTCGAGAAGGGTGAACCTATTAAATAGCAGGGTCCGAGACACATCTGGCAACAATGTCATCATCCCTGACAGAGGAATGGAGTGAGCTCATGAAGGAGCTCTCCAAAATGGAGGTATGTTCACTTTTACTGTGTCGAACTCGTAGTTCTACTGCTTTACTTTCCCTGTTAGACCCACTGGCTTGACAGCCACCTTTACTGATTTGATAGCTGTTGGACGTTTATTTTTGCTTTTTTGCTTTTCAAAGCGCACTAACTTACATTAGGCCGCGTACATACATTGCAACTGTGTCAAGTTGTAAAGAAACCGCGAAGAGGACTATTTGTTGACTTTCTTCTTCGCATTGTGGGGTCACAGCCTCAGACTGAGACGGAGGTGTGTCCGGCTTAAGGGGGGTGATCTTGGCTAGTCCCCATGGATGTGAGAAACAGGGCTGAGTTGACTCCGCAGCCAGACTTCGAATCAGTTAGGTCCTGGTGCAAATGCCGAGCAGTTTACCTTTTTTGCAGCGTCTCCTTCGGCGTCCCCGCTCATGCGTTGAACTACACCTCCAGCTAGTCTTTGGGCATCCTCAACGTAGATGACGTTTTGCTTAGTCACTGATTTTTTTTTCAGCGAGAGGGCCATTTTTTCTTTCATTCCGACTAGAGCCAGTTTTTCTCTTCGATTCCAACGCTATTTCACAATCCAGGCATTTCTTGACCTAAATGAAAGAAAAAAAATAGGTTTTTCTACTGGTTTTTCAGTGAGAGTGTTCAGGTTGTTCATCATGAGTATATGAAGAAGTTATCGGAACTTACAAAGGTGCAGGAGTCATGTCTCAAAACAGTAAAACATGAGCACTACATCCTGAGAAATTTCAAATGCTCACTGGAAGAGTAAGTGAGGATTTGGATGTTCAGCTCATGCTGTTTTACTATTCAGCCTTATTTTTGTTTACTTAAAGTGTTCTTTACGATTGAAGTGTTGTTTGTAAAGAGCTTGGTTTCGAATTGTTGGGTACAGCGTAAGTTAGCCCGCTTGCTCCCACGACGAATACGATGGGTGAGGGGGGGGGGAGCATTTTATACAATCGTCACTTCTCATCATCGTGTTGAGCCTTCAAGTAGAAGTGGGTCGAATCCATTGAAGCCATGAAGTGATACCAGTCAAGATTCGTAAAGAACTGTCAACGCCTGTGAAGAATACTTGCCAACTCTTGTGAAGCAATGAACCCGACGACGGGACGTCGCGCATTCCCATCCCTCACTCCCACCATGCCTAACTGCGCTGAATTTTCATCATTTATACGCGGAAATATAGTTTTAAATATGGAGGTGATTTTTGGTTTGCTCCATGTTTTTTATTTCGGTACTGGAAGTGCAAACGGTCTATTTAAGGGCTGAACGGAATGCTTCCACTACTGAGGAGAAAGAAACTGTCACGAAGATCCAGAGAGAAATGACCGACGTCCTTGCGAAGTTAGAAACAATGGAGTCTGAACTGCCAATACCTCAGAACGGATTCTATCTGTCGCTCATTTTGGGTTAGTTTTAATTGATCTTTCCTTTGGTTCAGTCAATCCATTCAACTGTTTAGGGAAGAATCTCAATTTATCCTTGTTAACAAAGAGTGAAAAATACAAGTATAAACAGGTATGCTAAATTTCTCAGGTTCTAGGGTCAAAAGTGAATGGAGAAGGGGAGGGGGGCAGCCAGTGAGACTAGACCACACTTGTCTGCTCGACTGCGCGCTATCACTGAGAAAGTATCAGCTCAATTATCCTCATACGGGCAGCTTTTTGAGCAGACCAGTAAAAAATGACGTGGCCTAATCTCGCTCTCTCACCCCCTCTCCCGCATCTCTCCATCCCAGCTGCCTTCGTCCTGAACTGTTTGAGTTGTTTCTGTTCCCATCTATTTTCTCATTCGTTTATCGTTTCTATAGGACTATGAGTTGTTCAAGTGGAAAGTAACGTTGGCACTTATATTTGCTATCATTCTTTCCTATTTGTTCCCATGGAGAGTGGTGGACTCGATGGGAAATTTCCTTATGGTTTGGTAAGTTCCTCAGTTTTTTCGTCACTTTGGAAGTGCAGCTGCCATTTTAGGGGTGTGGTGGTTTAAAATCATCAAGAACTCCCTTGAGACCCTCCCTAGCAACCCTGAGATGAAGCGTTTACCTGGAATGAAAATTGAAAAAAAAGAAAAATAAAATTAAAGCTGAGCGTTGCCACTAGCAGTGGGCGGAGCCATGGCTTCTTCGCCAGCGGCTTGCGCTTTCTTTACATTCTTATGCTGCAGAAGTAGTACAGCCCCCATACTTGCAGGCAAAACTACCATGTCCGAAGAAGGCGTCTTACAAACCAGCAGTTTGATGCTTAAAAAGTTGAGCACGTTGTTGGGAGGCGTGGCTTCTAGTCTAACGTCATTGGTGGAATTTAGTTGGATTACAACATTCAATGTGCTGTGGGTGAGGCCAAGTGCTCTAGACGTTATACTGGATGCCCTGCCTCCACGTAAACACGCCCACTACTTGAATACAAAGTAGCACCTCCTCTTCGGGTGATTCGACTCGAAACTGGGCCTTAAGGTAGTTCTAGGGCAGTTCATTTAATGAACCAGTAATTGAGCGTTTGGTTAAAACGGGAAGAATTGCCGCATTAACTGCTGTTGAGCACTCATTCTGATCCTTGATATTTTAGGTATTATTGTACACTAACTATCCGTGAAACTATTCTCAGGATTAATGGATCTCGGCAAGTTTTTCGATTTTAAATTTGTTTTTTTTTCTGGAGGTTAAGATGAAGAAAGAGCCAAATCTTTGAAAGAAACTCAAATTATATCGTATGAAGTAATTTCCCAAGTTTTCAGAATCAAAGGTTGGTGGGTGGCGCACCATTATTTGTCGTGTGTACTTTGTGGTATTGTGCTAACATGGAAAGATGGGGAGTGCTATCAAGCGTTCCGTCCGCAGTTCCTTCTGTTCTCATTCTATATATCTTTCCTGCAGTTACTCCAGGTATTTATTTTGCTGGAAAGTTTGGTTTTATTTGAACAAATTTTGGTGCTATTTCAGTGAGGTGGGGCAAAGAGCTGGGAAATTTGATTGAAGCATCGATTGTGAGCCAAGGAACTGAGGATTTGCCTAAGGCTAGCGGAGGGGGATGAAGGCGGGAAGGGGGTGGGGAGAAAGAAGCTCCGCGGTGGATGATCTGTTTCGATGATCTGCAGCTAAATACACCACTTTTTAGACAACAGCCAATAAAACAAATATTAAATAAAATGTATGGAAACGAGTTTTGTATGGAAACGCGCAAAGTTCGTGATTCGTGTGGTCACATAAGTAGAGTTATCCCTTTCAGCACTCCCTCTTTTCCATTGTTTGCGACAGTTAAAGGACTGCTATGTGTAAGATAACGTAAGGGTCAGAGCTTGACCACTGTGTTCCATTCTTTTCAGCGAAAATGGTTATATTAGACTGCGTTTATACTTGTGCTATTCGATCGATTCGCGATTCTATGGTCGTGCGACTGCGCACACATCGCGCCTCACATCTAATAGTTGGGCTTCAGCAATGGTCGAAAGAAGTTATACGGTATCATTGAGTCAGCAATTGCAGCGGTCCAACGATTAAAGGTGGAGTGCGGTCGGTCGCAGTCGCGCGATTTTCGAAATTCTGTTATTCATAGATCGCTTCAATGCAAAGGAAAGCCGCGCTCTCATTTGATGTTCAGATGCCCTCTTTGGTTATGGTAATCTTGTCCGCAAGCAAAAATACATGAGGAAAGCCCGACTCGCTCGCGGCGAAGCCACGGTTCCACTTGCTAGCGACGCCAACGCCTTTTCTTTTTTAGTTGCTCATCACCTCACTCTCTCCATTCCTAGTGATGAGAGTGAGGTGATGAGGAGAAACTGGCACCAGCAAATGAGAACTCTCCGACCACGCCCTCTATGCAGCTTGTGCACGTACAACCTCGGTCCCGCATGGAGTTCTACATACAGTCCTCATCATTGCGGACCGGTGGGGCGTGTCAGCCAGTATGAGTGTGCACACTGTTGAAGCCGTTCTCAGCCTTTTTGAAACGCGTATGCGACAAAAAGTGGTAGAAAACGAGTAATTACTAAGAATAATACAGTAATGTCACTTTCCCGCTTCAACAACTGGTGCAAAACGACCAACCGTAGCCGCACTGACACGCCCCACCGGTCCGCAACGATGGGGACTGTATATAGAGTTCGGACGATTTTTCGCCTTTTCTTCGCCTTGTGGAAAGTAGAAGCGCGGTAGCATAGGGATCTATATGGAGCATTAGGCGGTTTTTCTGGTTTATTTCTTTTTTGTATTACTTATCATCTTGTCATGAGTATTTTGAGCCATATAACCCGCCATTCTTTGTGCACGGAGTGTCCATTCAATGCTCTGACTTGATAAATATGAACGCGATTTTGACAAAGCGATCGACTGGTCAAGGATTTGCCTTCAAATTTCAGTCGCAGTACCAATCCGGCTGCCTCCGTCGGCTTCATGCACTTGGTCAAGGACACCAGATGGATATTACTGTGGAAGGATTCAAGAGTTTCATGTTCAAAGGGCTCACTTTCTTGTTACCCTTCCTGGTGGCTGGATATGTGAGTTTACGGAGACTTCATTGCCTCTGTCATTTGCGATATCTATAGCTTGTTTTTTCCAGTTCCTCCAACTCTATAATGCTTATACTCTATGGTACTTGTCCTACGACTGCGAAGGAGAGTGGCAGGTTTGTTGGAGTTGCTAGTAGTTTTGGCCTAGGCGCGTTCCAGCAAGTTATAAAGGTGAGTATGAGGATTGTCGAGCGTCTCACGCTCTAGGTGCTGCGGTAATCTGGGTCGAAGAAGGCGAAGGGCTGCGCGAGTGAGTCGGTGATGGGAGAAAATGGGGAGCCTTCCCCTCCCCCCCCTCCCTCGAACTTTCTTCTTCTCGGTACAACCTCGCTTTTCTGCACCGATTACCATACTTTCCTAAATTCTCCGCCCTTTACACACCTTTCTTCAGTTCCGGGAATTTTTCTCCAAAACTGCCGTGAGCGAGGGTGTGCAAAGGGGAAAAACCGCGAGAATGCGATACCGCGTACCGAAAAATTTTTATCGCGGCTTGGAAAAACGTCCGCCATCCAGTACAACCCCTCGCTCAGGGGCTCTACAACAGGTCCCCAGTAATACACGTACTCCTTCTCCAGACTCAGCTTTTGAAAACACGCAGGCAAGCCTAATGTGCACCCCCTGCCCCCCCCAGTCTATCGTCCTGTTAGCCATTAAGTAGCTGGGCCTTGAAGATCCTTTTGCGCAATGAGGACACAATTTTTACCCTGTGTGCTTCTAGGTTTGCGCTATGCTGTATGTTCTTCATTCTGGCTGTCGGTAACATCGTGACAACGAGTTTGGTTATCCTGAAGAAGCTGCGTACATCGAGCTCCTACAAGTACATCGTGGACCTAACCTCAAAATATCGTCAAGGGGAAACCGAGAAGGAGGAATAAAAGAAAAGTGTGGCTCATGAAGGGCAGGAAATTAGGAACGGCAAAGCGAAATCTCGAAAAAGAGCATTGTTGTGGGAGTGCTTCCTCTGTGAAGAGCTTTTTTTTACAAAGTTTTAGACTTATATAAGCGATAAGCCATAAAAAGTGCAAAAACTTGAGGGCGCGGGGGAGGGATGGGAAGTAAATGCGTTGCATAGTCGCAACGTTTCGCGCGACGTCAGTCATTGTCATTTCAGAATGAGCGGGTGAGGCGAGACCACCAAGCATTGTGCCTTCCCATTGTTCCGCCTCTCATTCGTATAAGAATGAGAGGGCACCAATGAAGAAGGAACATTGTTTGAGAGCCCCGCCCATTGCTATGCCCATCCGCTGTCGTGGAATGTGTCTTTAAGTGACTGCTTGTTGAATGTTTATTATAACCGCATTTTTTGATAACATTTTTAGCTATTGTTATATTTCTAACTTCCTCTGCAATCATATTCTTTTGTGTGCTATGTTGGTCATAACTCTAGTCCTGCAGCACTTACTATAACTCTTGTCATAGTCTGTATTGTTTTAGACCAGTTGTTTTGGACCGGTTCCTGTCCTGAAGTAGTGGGCACGTTGGCTAGAACGCTGGGCAGCAGTGCAAGCGTCTCTGGTAGACAAGCGTTTGTCAGCCCCATTACGTTGTGGAATGTGGGCCGAAAGCATCCCACCAATGACGCTCGCACTGCTGCTCCGCCTCCTATCAATGCGCTCACTACTTTTAAGGTAGTCATGACATCTCATTGCCAGCATTTTTATATCTTCTTCACCGAGGTCAGTAGTTATGGCCTGTTCATGTAGGCTCTGTGTTGCCTTTGTTTGGAAATTTTGCTAATTTTCTATGGAGTTGTTCCTTTCTGTTAGTCTTGGTGTTCTTTATCCGGTTGAAGTTTTACGAGTTTTGTGATACAGTGCATTGTAGAAGTAATGAAGAGCTTTTATTTCTTTCTTCGATTTTCGAGCAGGAGTGGTGTAGTGGCTGGTGGTACGCTTGCCACGCGCACGGTTCGAAGAACAAATCCCGGATAGGCTCCCGCCGAAGCCAACAAAGCTTCCAAGCTTTCTAGACGGTAAGCTGGCCAGATTCGCCTGGGAAGACACCGACTGGTACATCGGCTGGCCCCCGGAAGAGGTTGTATAGGCCACGTCGCATCCAGTTAGCCTCTACGAGTCTGGATGAAAGTGAAGTACGTACCGTATCCCAAAAAAGATTTATTAACGGCGAAGACAATCCTTTTTTGATTCAGTTTTCATCGGTATGGAAATAACCTGCAGTCCATATCACGGCGTTCGAGAGGGAGTGTCCACGGACTTGATCGTGAGCGCGACGATAAGACAGTTGTTGGATTAGGAGAGAGAAGATGCATAAGAGAGCGCGGGCGGCACAAGAAAAGTTGATGCACGAACGGTCTGGCTCTGCGCTCGCGAACGGTCTGGCTCTGCGCTCGCGTACATGTCGACGCAGAAACATGGACCTACAAGGCACCGGAAAATTTTGGTATTGCGCTTCTGTGGAGGAAAACGGTAGATGTGTTCTTCTTCGATCCGTTTAGAATTGGAGGATATCCGATGTTTCTGTGGTGAAATGGCATAAAGCGCAGTGGTCCACGATGGTCTTCTAGGCGGAGACAGTCCACATCGCACTTTTCTCTGTGACGCATCGCAGCTCCCCATTGTTTCAAAGGAGAGGGGCTCACCAACGACGAAAGCAATGGTCCACTGTCTCCGCCCATGCAATCACGTGGACTGTGCAGTTGAGCCTTTTCATAGCAAATTCGAACATAGTGTGAATAGTAACCAGACATTCTCCGCATATTTGCAGTAGATTATCTGGATTTTCCTGATTTATCAGCAATGGGGGGTGGGTATGTTTGTAAGGAAGTTTACTGTGATATGACATGAATGTTTGGTTTGTTTTCAAGTAAGAAAACACGTTCAATAATGTATAGCCATTGGTTGGATGTAGTGATGGGGTCAAAATGATCCCTTCCCCCACAAACTTCCTCCCACAGTGTGACCCTGTGACCCCTCTCACAACCTTTCTACCACATTAACAAGGTTTCCCAAAATTCTTGCCACTGAGTGCACGGTGGAGGGGGAGGGGGAGAGGGTGGGGTAAGGGGCAGACACCTGAAGCAACCTAGAAGTAGTGGTTTTCTCACGGTTAGGGGGAGAGCTACAACGGAACGACAAATTAGGGGGAGAACTACAAAGAAAGACTTAAAAAAATGCAAAAAACCCTCAGGGCCAAAGGACTCCTGTATCACCTATCCAAATACGATCTCTGATGGGGATCTCAAAACAGAATCGCTGCTCCCCTCCCCCCCCCCCCTTGCCGCACAATTCGCGGTGTACGTTATGCTCTGTGTCTTGCTGTAAAGCAGTAATTGAATACGGGAATAACAGCAGGAAGGAATAATAAGTAGGTTGGTTTGAGTAGTAGGTGTTACACAGCTAAGAAAATAAGTTGTTTTTTTTTCGCAGATACTGTTCTTTGGCGTGAATTTCGTTTCGCAGATACTTGTGTTCTTTAGCGTGAATTTCGTCATAAGAAGTGAACGTAAGGCATATCTGGAAACCAGGGCACATCGTTGGTTGGGGAATCCCCAACAGGGGGGTCGTATTTGGCCGCCAGGAGAGGGGGGGTCGTAGTGAGTGCGGCAGCCAGTAACGAGCAGCGCAAATTGTCAATGTGCTGAGTCCTGTACAACGAAACTTGCTTTGTAGAGAACTCGGATATGCAAAAAAATAGTACAAAACTTTCATTCATCAAACTAATCCGAAATAACTGCAAATATTAATAAGTCGACATTATCTCGTAAGTCCGTTGGTGACTAAACAGTACAACTCAAACTCTGGTTCGCTGCCAATGATATGGCGTGTCCGCGGTCGCGCTTGGCGCTGAGCCAACCTGTTTTTTTCTCGACAAGCGACAGGACTACCATATCGTTCATATCAGACGTTTTCCAGCAGTTGGTCTCCTTTATCGGAGTCAGCGATTGGCGGAGCACGAATCTGGCAGCGTTGACAGGGACATGTTCCATCATACGCAACGGAAAACACTGTAAACAAGTGCACAGGCTCGCCATGGACCTCCCTGAACCTTATAGACACATTTGCTCGCGTGAACAGACATTACGCACAAGTTGCACCATCCCATCACCTCTGCGCGGCCCTCAGTGCGCGGCGCATCCAAAGTTGGCGTGATCGGCGCTAAACGAACCATATCCTGCTCCTGCTCCACCACAGGATACGTTCTACATGCGTTCCTGGCTATTCGAACACGCTCACTTGAAACGGTACACAGGAAACGGGTTTTTCGCGCAGCTGGGAGTGTTCCTCAAGAAATCCCCATAGCGAGATCTCATGAATCCCGAGAGCTTCAGAAACAGTTCAAGAGGTTTTTAGAAAGAGAAAATCTTCAAACACTCGAAACCGTTCTCAGATTTGTGAAATGTTGAGTTACAAAAAAATATATTGATTCAAACCTGTTCAGTTGAAATCACTCCCCAACGAATCCCTATGGCAGATTTCTCTGTGATTTTTGCGACCTTCATAAACGTTTCAGTACTTTTAGGAAGTGCAAACCTTCCTCTACACGAGTACGGTCTCCTCTTCCCCACAGGTCCGCTTTTGAGGAAGTTATGGTCCTTCAAAGACACCTACCTCAGCTGGAAATTCTCGCTCCATGGCTAAAATTGCCGAATAATCTCCAGTCACAGCTGCAATTACATGCGCTTCTGCTACCGTACTCCACATAATCGGGGTAATGCATTTTTACGGCGGTTTGTATAACTGTTACGTAGTGAGACAAGCCTAACCTCAGGTTAACGAATGCTCATTGAATTTAATCGCGATACATCGTTATTATTACCATGTGTGTTTCAAAACGGCCATCGAAGAAGTTCATCATACGAGTTTCTCATAATACGATTGTACCGTTTTTTGTTTGCAATCATCTCTGTATTGTTCTATTATGTCATGACTTCAAGTCGTCCATTTAGTATGGGCACCTTCATACAAGTAGAATTTCATAGTGGGCGTTTCATAGTTTCATTTAAGGCGAAAAAAACCGAACGGCAAAAAAGGGGGGGTCGTACCGAACCCCCAAAAAAAGGGGGGGGTCGTACAGGCTCGACCAAAATCCCCATCGAATGCTGTGCCCTGTGAAACACCACAACGGTCATTATGAGTTCACGCCCAGGGTACAGCATGGGGATGTGTCAAATGGCGGTGTGGGTACGACCCCCCCCCCTCGAAGAGGGTCCAGATACGACCCCCCCCCCTCCTGCTCTAACTGACAACCAGATGCATGTTCACCACAAATGACTTCCTGAAATGGAATCTGGATTCTCGAAAGGCGCACTCTGCTCTAAAATACAGGAAATAAAAGGCTGTTTCAGCTGAACAACAGCCTCGCATTACCTACAATTTTGTCTTAGGATTCAAAATAAAACTCCTCGTTCGATAACTATGTATGACATGCAACTTGTAACAAGAAACACAATTGAAATAGCGGCTAATGGTGATCATTGATAGGCTGAATTGGTGAAAAAAATAGCCCCAAGGTGAGCGTGTCAGGGCCCAGATGTGCATTCAATGAATGGTGACGGGGAAATAATGAAAACATGCACGACACAACAAAGCGAAACATGGAAAATACAAAAAATGCAGAGCTAAATGAAAAAAGGATAACCAGGCCGGCAGTAAATCGTTCCATACTTGGCTATTATCGATCAGGCTGCAGGGCGCAAGGCTGCGACCGCTTTCTTTGGAAAAACGTCATTGGAGCGCGGTTGTTGGACTTGCCAACGTCCTGGGGTCTGTTCGGGGGGTTATATCTTTTTTAGGTGCGGAG